CTTCAGATCTCTATGCAATTGACTTAGTAAAATCTGGTCACCGAAGCAAGGTGAGTTTGAGGAGGTGCACCTCAGTCTGACTCTCCTCTCCCCCATTTATTAAGCAGGTGTAATAGTACTTCCCTCTCTCTGAGAGGTGGTGTGGATCCAGGGTAAAGATTGTGCAGTAGCAGCATAGTGTAAAACTGAGGATTCTGCAAGAACACTGAAAGTAGGTCGTAATGAAGACTTCCAAAAAGCCACAGTCAGACATTTCTGTGGTAATCTCGTCATGATTTTGTTTCTTTCCCTGAAATACAAGGAGAGGTGACCTACTCCATGCGCAGCATTTTCACACTCCTTTTTAAACAAGCAGGATGTATCTGCCTTGGGGGTGATAGGACGTGGGATTCATCTCATTACCAGTGCCAAATGCAATCAGTAGACAACTTGCTGCTTTAATTTCTGAGGACTTATAGTTATGGCTGTGCTTAAGCTGATCGTGATCATTTAGAAAAAAAAGGTGAATGGTTGTTTTTCCTCTAGTATATCTACCCATTGGCAATGACTAGTTAGGATTCAAAGTTCCATCTAGCCCAAGGCTATAACGAATATGCAGGCAAAATGATTCTGTACAGCTGCTTTAGGGAAGCAAAAAGACAACGCCTCTAACATTCAAATCCCCTGTGCCGTTGGAATAAACAAGCAATATTTGATTAAGAACAAGAAGACAGAAGACACTTCTGTACATCTCATACCAGAAGAGGCTTTATATGGTATTAAATCGCCGACGGATTCCTGGAGGTACCATGCATGAATCAGTGTCATGTTTTGGCCGATGGTCATTTCACCAAGCTTTTATTGAAATACTGTTTGTTTAAAAGCAAACAGTGATAAAAATAGAGCAGATAAACGAGGTGTGCCCCCAACAGAGGCCACAGTCCACTGAAACACTGTTCATTCTTCTGGATTGACACACAGAGCAAAATCAGGCTGAACGTGCTGTACCGATTGCACCGCTCCATCGTTAACGAGGGAACCAGCAAAGCTACTCAAGGGTAATAGAAGAAGGTAATTTGTAGCAACAAAAGCAATAAAATCCTCTACTACATGAAGCAGAATAATATTTTAGTTAGTTTGTTGGTTTTGTGACTCTGAATGCCCAGCTGCTGTTACACCTAATAGCATCAAGCCGTTTAGAAAGCATTTCTTAACTGTGCAGGCTCTATCAAGCACTTTATCAATGATAAAAGCTGCAGGCACTTTCATAAAGTTGGATTTGGGTAAAAAGAAGAGATTTATGTTGTATTACCGGTGGCAGGTTTTGTTTCTTGCATGATTTACTGGCCTCAAGATTCATTCAAAAGAATGAAGAAGTAACATGCTCATCCTTGAATGTTGTATAAATCTCATCTCTGCTAAGAATCAGTAAATGTAATTTGGAAATTGGGGTCAATCTTTCAGAAAGCCAAGTAGACAGGAGGCCTTGAGTCAGCAAAATTAATTAGGCAAAATGAATCATCGAATCCCAGACTGGTTTGGGTTGGAAAGGACCTTAAAGCTCATCCAGTTCCAAGCCCTGCCATGGGCAGGGACATCTCACACGGGAGCAGGTTGCTCCAAGCCCCTGTGTCCAGCCTGGCCTTGAACACTGCCAGGGATGGGGCAGCCACAGCTCCTCTGGGCACCCTGTGCCAGCGCCTCAGCACCCTCCCAGGGAAGAGCTTCTGCCTTAGATCCAACCTGAACTTCCCCTGTTCCAGTTTGAACCCATCACCCCTTGTCCTATTACTCCAGTCCCTGATGAAGGTCCCTCTGCAGCATCCTTGTAGCCCCCTTCACACACTGGAAGCTGCTCTGAGGTCTCCAGCAGCTTCTCTTCTCCAGGCTGAACAGCCCCAATGTTCTCAGCCTGTCTCCATACAGGAGCTGCTCCAGCCTCTGCTCATCCTCATGGCCTCCTCTGGACTTGCTCCTTTTTATGTTGAGGACAGAAAATGAAGCCTCTTTGAAACTAAGCTTTGATACTGCACTGCTCCTTATGAAATCTGCACCTGAGTTAAGAATTTTGCTGAAAATCATATATTGATACTCTCAGAAATCTGAAGTTTTGACCTGCGTTTCAATCTGGGATCATTCCTTTAGTCAATGGCTGCGCTTCGGAGTGAGTTCTCTTTTCTAATCACTTAAATCTTTCTCAAAAGTTGGCTTCTTCTGTGACCTCTGCAAATTGTTCTCGGTCCAAAGGCAAACTTCTGTGGAGAGGTTGCACACCTACATCCCCTGGGTTACATAAATAGAGCTCATTTCGTGTGAAAATTAGCTGTCCAGTGACAGGAATGTCTCCTGGTTTCAACCATCTGATGCCTTATGATGCATTTTTCCAAGTCCTCAGGGCAAATATAAAATTAGGAATTTTTCTCAAGGAATTAATAGGTTTTTCTTGATGATTTAAAGAATAAAAGGTGATGTTACAGGTAAAATCAGGTGGGGATATTATTCCTCTTTGTGAATATGTGAGTAGTCTGGTGGGTGGCACAAGGGTAACCGGTATTTTCTTAAACGTATCTAGCATCATCTTTATCTGATATTTATTTAATGAGCAACAAATCAGACAAAAGGTTATGGGGAAAAGAAAATCAGCTTTAGAAATACCCGCTTTATTCCAAAATTGTCAGATTTAATGGAATTTCTCAGGTTTTTATATGCTATTCAAGACCTTTCCCATTCCTCTCAGTGACTCTGCAGCAAAGCGCGGTGTTAACTTTTGTTCGTTTCTCCCTGTTTCCTCACGAAACATCCTTTTTCCTTGGGATATGAAGCGAAGGAAAATCAAAGATTTCACCTCCTTCAGTTGAGTTTTCAAGTTATTTTCCTACGAATTTACCTGTGGTTTTACTAAAACGGGGCAGGTTTCCAAGGCTAATACAAGCGAGCCTTTCAAAAGGTCTTTGTCTAGACCTGTGCCAAGCTATCAGATAGTTACTCTGTTGAGTAGCTTGAGAAATTGAGGACCCTTTCATTGCATTCGTTGCATTAATCTGGGTACGGGAGAAGCAGAATTGGTGGAAAATTTAGGTCTTTACTTACTTTTGGAAAAGAAAAAAGCTCAAATTAGACTTTATTAAGAAAGGCAAACTCGTTAGGGTGGAAATTGGGTTTGTATGAAAGGAAGGGCTCTTCCCAATAAGTTACTCAATGTGGATTTAACTAATTGTATTATTTGTAAGCGTTAGTGTGTGTCTAATTTTTATGGCAGCGCTCTAAGCGCGCTGAAGTCAGCGTAATGAGTTATGTGGTGCCAACATCCTGAACGTTAGCACAAGGATTCCTGAGAATCATTAACATAAAGGATACACAATTCATGTCTTCTAGAGGGTGTCTCATTTCTGCGGCGGGCCTCAAGGAAATTCAGAACAGAAATGAAAGTCAAAGATACAACGACTCTCACACTGCCAGTGCGGCGCTCATACATATTTCATGGGTGCTGCATGGGCGGGGAGGTCACTGTCTTTATTGGAATGGCACAGCTAAGACTCAGGGTTTTACTATTCATGTCAAGCACTGTGTGCTCTCAAGGAACACAGCCTGGGGGGGGGGGTTGTTTGTGCTTAACCAGTGGTGTAAAAAGAAAACACAACAAAGGGGATATTTCCTGTGTTTCCGCTGGATTTCTTTAAACTAAACTTCATTTAGGCTCATCCCATTTTCAGTTACGACGTAGCTACACAGCTGTCTGAGTTTTTACAATATCCAAATGGGAGGGAATTGTTCTGATGTGACTCCCTTCATCTTTGGAGGGAGTGATAAAGGTTTAGTAAATGTGAAGATCTGCTCTGTTAATTTCTGTTCATTTTTTTTCCCTGTGTCCTCACTAAATAGTCTTGTTTTTCCTTTGGAATAGTAAGAGAAGGAAAATCACTTCATGATCAGGAAGTGATTTTCCCACTGCGATATCAGTGCTGCGGTACCAATTTGCCTACCCAGAGGTAGGCAAACCTCTTTTGTACTAACTCTTGTAACAGCACCAGTCGGGTTTCGACCACATCACGCACCGTGCTCTGCGTGCAGCAGTGTTGCAGATTTTAAGGTATTTGCTGAAGAGCATTATCAGTACCAAGCAGAAAAAACAACCACCTAACCCCTGAAAGTTACAGTGAAAATCAACCACTCTATGTGCCAGAGGCAGAACGTTAGCTCCTCTGAACTGTTTGCAATGGAAAGGATAGTTGGTTACTGTCTACATGAGGTGTATTCCACAAGGGAAGTAGGTGCCTGGAAAGTTACAGCGAAAACCAACCACTCTATGTGCCAGAGGCAGAACATTAGCTCCTCCTTTGCAATGGAAAGGATAGTTGGTTACTGTCTACATGAGGTGTATTCCACAAGGGAAGTAGGTGCCTGGAAATCAGGAAAAGCAAACACTTGTACATTCGGATTTCTGGCTTTAGCAGAGAAGATTCTGATCTTTCATTGACACTATGGCCATCCCAAGCTGTTCTCTTAAGTCAGCCAGAGGAGAGTTCAGAAATGCTGAATTGCATTCTGGAAGCCCTGAAACCTTGCCCCATCCTTGCTGTTCTGATCAAGGCATGACCAGCCAATGCTTCGGTTTCACACTATTTTATAGGGCCCTGGTTACGTTCAATATACGTTATATAGGCTCAGTTATCACAAGTGAAAAACAGTTTTTTAGAAAGAAATGGGTAAAGAAAATGTGTGTCATCCAAAAGGATCTTTTCCCCTCTGTGGGAAGGGAACATTTTGTGACATCTCTGTCTTTTTTTGGGGGAAAAAAAAGCTAACTTTCCTTTTTTCAGGATCTAACCTTTCTGCAGTGCTTTTGCAGTTCCTCGATGTGTCTGAAATGAGCTAAGTAATGAGATGAGGTTGAGCCCTGGTGTGTAATTTCACCAAATCACTGCATAGCCACTTACAGCAAAGTTTCCTATTTCCTTGATACATCTTTTGTTCATATTACTTTTAATTATGTCCTATATTTATCTGACCTATTTGAACAGGATCCAGAGCTCGTACGGAACATCTGTCGCTGGGTTAGACAAGCTGTTGAGATTCCTTTCTTTGCCAAGCTGACCCCAAATGTCACTGATATTGTGAATATTGCAGTGGCTGCGCAGGAAGGTAACCGACTCCAGTGCACAAGCTGTGCAGATTGACTCATTTGCTGGATGGGGTAAGACAGGGGAGTTGCTGCAGTAACAACAAACAGCAACAGAAACTAATATGAAGAGAGTTTGAGGTGTTTAGAATCAGCACAGTGATCAAAGGCTTCGTAATTATGTCCATGCTTCTAGAATATAGCAATATATGACAAGAACTGTATTAGACAATAAATTATACATGTTTATGTGGGCGCGTTTATCTGCACACTTCTACTACAGCTTTATGTTTACCACTGTAAATTCCCCTATTCCTACATTTACCAGTGAAAATGGTGTGTCTGTCCTGAGGAAACAGATACACCATTTGAAGGTATGTGGTTTGGGTTTTTTCCTTAGAGCTTAAAGTGCAACCTGTCAGGAAATGAAGTTTGCAAGTAGGTGTTTTAATCTACCACTTAGAACCGTGGTCATCATTTCGCTGTCACATCGTCCGTCTTGCTCCTCACAAGGTTGGAGGAGGTGACCTCTGTGCCGGGGCACCTCCAAGGACCAAACAACCACTGTAGCAGGTTCTGTCCTGCCCAGCCAGAGGGCAGAGATTTGCCTGCCAGCCCCAGCGTTTCCCACGTGCTGTCTTATATCCCTTATGGCTCTTGCAGCCTGTCTTGAAGCTCGTGTTAAATTTATCAGCCCAGAATTGGTCCTAAAGACCCTTCTGTGCTTCCCCTCACAGTTTGTTGCTTTCTGTCTTCAGCTGTTTATTTGAATTTCTCGTTCTTTCACACGTTCACAGTTTTCCTGGTGTATTTTTGCCTCTCTTGTCCTTATACACATGATTTAACAAAAAGCGACTGACCTTTTCTTTCACAGGTGGCGCAGATGGTGTTACAGCCACCAACACCGTGTCAGGACTGATGGGACTGAAAGCAGACAGCACACCTTGGCCAGCAGTCGGTGGAGGACTGAGGACCACATATGGTGGCGTGTCAGGTAGGTGTTGCCCTTTTTGATGCATGCTGCTTCCTTGGAGGCTTTCAAAACACCAGGAGGTCCTTGTAGTGGGCTAGAATATCATGTCTGCAGTCACACCGAGTCCTTAAAGCTCACTGCTGGTCAATGTTTCGAAGTCATGACAGATGGAACAGATTAAGTGTGAAGGCTCTTGGGTTGCCCTTTCCTTAATGGTGAGGCGCTGCATCAGAATCCTGTGATGGGGTCACCGGAGAGGGAAGGAAATCTCCTCTCTGGTGACCCTTGCTTTTCCTCAGATTTTTCATGCTGTCACAATTGTCAGGCCCCACGTTAGACAGAGGCTAATGAAAGGGCATCGCGGGGGAAATATCAACAACCCAAATGCAGTGTATGTTTCATAGCCCGAACTCCAGCCTTCCTCCCTCCTTCCCACCGAGGGCACCTCTGCCAAGGAGGTTATTTCCTCCTCTTCCCACTGGGGTAAAAATGATAGACTGTATTAGGCAAACATATGCATATTTTGTAGCCTGTTTCTTGAGCTACACAGGAATAGCTCGTGTAGGATGTACTTCCAAGTCCTGCTTCTCTCTTTCATTTTAAAGCCAGCAGCAAAACTTACGCGCTCCCGTTCGGTGCGTGTGCACGCTAATGTGTTAATCTATTGACCCTGTGCACTCTGTTGCTGTGACAACATGAACTTGGCCCTGCAAAGACAATACTGTGAGCTTCTTGACCTTACTGGTATGGAGATTAGTTTCCTTGGTTATAGAGGTAGCAGTAAATATACATAACAGAAGTAATAGCATCCCCCTGATTGAGACAAACTCTCTTTTATCGGACGTGCCTCCTACCTCTCCCCAAAAACCTTAATGAGAAGAGACCAGACAGGCAAAAAATGCTTTCTTTGGTGTGCCTGGTGTTATCCTTAGAGAGTGGCAAGAAAGGTAGCAAAAGAGAACTTTTAAACAAACTTTGATTCAGACAAGTGTATTCAGTGGAAAATTGCCTCATTGCCTTAGATAACTACATGGAATTTGGGGTTTTTTCAAGGAGGCTGAAAAGGAAGGAAGAGATAACAATCAGAAAAAATCATTATGCCTATGGCATGGTGATTATTTCACAGTGACAGTCCAGTAAGATGTTATATTTTCATATTATGCAAAATGTGAGGAAGAGGGGAACGAGAAGAGAACAGCTACAGCCCATTGCAATTTCTCTAGCCTGCCATGTTGACAGGCAAAGAATAAAGGAGGTCACGGTGGGTGCCGTGCATTAAAAATTAATAAAAGAACTATTGCAGTAGTATTTTATGTAAGTAACACCATTCACATTTTCTCATTTAAGTTGCAGTTCCTGAATATTCCTTCCTACCATAAGTCTGTCTAATAAAATCTCTCAAATGACTGCATTATGGAAAGCGTCTCTTATGTCACAAAGCTGATACATGTATGTAGGGGAGATTGCAGTGGCACCTGGATGCTCGGCTATAAGAGAGGGGGCACCACTATTTCTGGAGTTTATAGTCTTGTTACAAGTGGGACCTGAGGAAAGCTTCTCTCTTTATCTTATATTTATGCATATATAGTATCCGAATGTATTTTTTTATGGCTTAATGTATGGTTTTATGTTTGGGTTTATGGCTTAATGGTGGACTTGGCAGTGCTGGGGTAAAGGTTGGACTTGACGATCATAAAGGTATTTTCCTGCCTAGCTGATTCTATGATTCTATGTATCAGAGCGGATAGACAATGTCATTTTGGGGTACACCATTGCCCATGATGCAAATCTGGTTATTTAAAATACATGAAAACCACTGGAAGTCAGTAAGTAGCCAATAAAGTCAATAGGCTCTGCAATACATCACAGCGCTTTCTCCTTGGCCATCAGGGCATAGCAGTATACAGCTTAATGTGAGCAGGGAAGCAATTTTAGCTCAAGAGAGCTAGCACGCTCAAGAAGACCATCTTGTCATGTCAGAGCGAGGGGCAGGGTGACCACATTCTGAGGTCTGTTCTGGCCATGCCAGGGCTGAGATGCGTGGCCTGCAGCCAGACACTTGACCTTTCCGTGCTTTGTTCCTCCTGTCTGTGAAATGCCAGTAACACCACTCCAGTGCCTGCAGGCTGTGCTGGGAAGTGCTCTGCAGTCCCAGCATGAAAGTTGCTTCCTAGCGTAATGTATTGGTTTTCTGGTTTGATGTGCTTCAGCTTCTCATTCTGCTTTATTATCTGACGGAGTCGGGAAGGTTTTGTTGTTTTTTCAACTAATTCCTCTCAAGAGAGAATTAATTTTTTAGGTGAAAGGCAGTGCTATTACAGAAGCAGTAAGCCTGGTCCATTTTCCATGTGTTTTACCAAAGCACAGCTGGCTGATCATGTTCTCTAGTGCACAAACCTAGAGCAGATAGAGCGCATAGCCAAGCTGTAGCTCAAATTCTGGACTTTTTCCAGTTGCACAGATTTCAGTTGTTTTCTGGACTAAAAATGAGGCTGGCTTGGCACAGAGGTACAGTAAGAGCCTGTGTCCCGCGGGGTGCAGTGATGCTGATGGTGTATGACCATGGGTAGGGTGGGAGCTGGTCCCCAGCCCCAAGGAGGCCTCAGCACAGAGTCCCTGTGGTCAAGTGTGCTGGTGAGGTCTGAAATGTAGCTGTGCTCAGAGCTGGTGGCCCTCAGTGTCACCCAGCCAGCGAGGAATTGCTCACAGTGGAGAATTTCTGGAGTACTGGAATAAACTGGAGTTTAGGTCAGTTTGGGCTTGCTTATCTTCTCCTCACACATACATCAGAGGAAACTCTCCCAGCCTCCAGCGGTGCTGCCCGCTGGTTATAGGGGTTGCTCCATCTGAAAGGGTGCTTTTGCTGCAGAACCTGCAGGGCTCAGGGTCCATCAGCACCCTCCCTTGATGCCACGTAGAGAAACGTGCCCTGTCCTCTGTGTTCTGTGCTTCCATTCGCTCCCTTGGGAGCGGAAGGAGTCCCGCGCCTCGGTGGAGGGACGCAGTGTGTGAGAAGGAGGCAGGCAGAACGCAGCTCCAAGTGCAGAAGTCAGCACTTGGCACCCCAAAATAAGGCTTCAGGGCAGCCCTTGTCTCTGCCACAATCTGATGAAGTGCTTTCCATATGCAACTTCCCCTTGGCCTCCTCTTCTCATCTACCTCATGCAGAAGCAGCTCCATGCAGGAGGACTGTCCTTCATTAGTCCCGAAAAGAGAGATACCGAAAAGGGAGTTTCTTTTCAATTGCTCAGTGATGGTTTCCTGTGGTTTCTGCAACATCCATACAAATCAGAAGAAAAATAGTTGAACACCACTGCCAGACCCTGCGATGTTTTGAGAACATCTTTAAAGCCAGAGACACTTAATGAGATTACTTGAAAACCCTCATTTAGCTTTGAGCTGTCGCGGTCAGTGTTTTCTGCCCGGGCTGTGACCTTCCTGTTTTGGTATAATTTGATCAGCTGAAAATTGCTAAGCTGGAAGAGGCATCGCTGTTTCCTCCTTCCTCCCCTCCTGTCTGTTGGGTGGTTTTGACAGGGAAGGATCCCAGTGTCCCAGGTGGATGGTTGACCACTAGACTGTAGGATTAGGCTCTCTCTCTTCTCTACTTCCCTGTGAAAACGGAATGATTAATACGAAGTGGAACAGCTCTCACAGGATACACACTCGCTGATCTGCACGTGAGCCTGGCTTGGCAGAGCCAGGTTTAAAGCCCAAGTGTGAGCCCGGGCCCCCTGGATTCCAGGTTTGCCCTCCAGCTATTGACACGGTGAAATCTCCCTGGGGTTTCTTTTCACGTCCCACCTCTATCCTGGTGCCAAAAAAAAAACCCCAATATTTGCAGGAGAGATTTCACCTGAATTTTGGCAAATTGTTGTTTTCTAAAGAAAAACCATTTCTAATTGGCACTGCAGAGCCTTAGCTGAGCCCAAAGGCTATGGCAGCCCTGTGTGGCCCTGTTATGTGAGAGGACCTGTGCTTAGAGGATTCCAGTCCTCATCCATTTTCGTAAGTTCCTCGGAACTTCCCATTCCTCAAAAAGTGAGAATGAAGCCTCCAAAATTTGGTACAAGAAAGAAGCCCTTATGATGGAAGAAAACTACTAAAATGAAGATACGGCTCCCCAGACTGTGTAACTATCATATGTGTTGGCAGGATCAGGGCCACAGTTTGATTTCCATTGAGGAGCTTTTAGAATGGATCCAGCAGTATTTCAGGTTCGAGAGGAGATTTTACCCTGAGTTCTTCCTATAGACAAGCCATGAAATGAATGACTGTTTAACATTATGAAATACTGTTCCTTAACAAGAAGCTAATGCTGGGGGTTTATCCCCATGAAGAATAAAGACCTCTGGCTCTCTTTTAGTCTGTAGAAGTATAAATTACTTTATAGAAGTATAAATTATTCTCTAGCTATTAGAAATAGATGCCAGGTTCCCCAGAGGGCTGGTACGATACTGTCAGCAGCTACAAGCTTTCCTAAGATCCGTTCCCTTTCAATGGCTTTTAAAATTGAAAAACCAAAAGTTTTTCCATGAGCTTTCATCCCGTGCTTCCATATTCCAGATGTGTTCTATAAAACACATCGCCCTGCATCACAATAGGGTATCTATTGCAGGCAAAAAAGAGCAGCGCTGCGATTTGAATTTCCATGGGCTTTTTTTGTTCTTTGTCATCTGTTTGGTTCTTTGGTTTTGTCTGGAAGCCAGATCCTTGGGGGATAAATTTATAAACCCATACACTGGACTTAGCAAAAAACTTTGGTTAAAAGCAGATCTCTCCGTGGTGCACTCGCTGTGTGTCCTTTCAATGCAAAACTCTTGCAGTATTTTACAGCAGTAGCTCAAACAGCTCATGTCTATGTGCTGTTGTTGCTTTGTCCATTAGTCCAAATCCTGTAGGCTTCGTGGCATTATTTGCCCCAAACAGATTGTACCTATCTTTGTATGTTTTTCAGAACAAGAGAGATTCACAAAGTTGTGTGTTGTAACTTCCGAGCTGACCATGAGGGATGTCAGAAT